TCCTTCCCATCCAGAAACCTATCATGTGTGTCCAGAGTTAAAAGCTAGTGGGGTCAGAGGCCAGGATCCTGCCTGAACATGCCCACACTTGTGGAGGCCCCATGAGAAAAGGGAATGTCCCTGGTGTTCAGGGAGTATGTGTGTGGGGGGTGTGACAGCTTACTGTAATGACAACCCTGTCACACACACCTTGGTCAGCACGGAGTTGGCTCACCTGAGAAAGCAATCTTTGGTAATGCTGGCTACAAATGTCCTGCCTCACTCACACTTGTCCTCCTATAATGCCCCTCGCTCAGCTTTAACACGAAAAAACAGCCTCGCCCAACAGGGGGCTCTGTGCACAGGCTGGGAAAGGCACTTGAAAGTCGGCGCAGCGAGACTAAGCCAGCTGGAAAAGGCACCGTTAGTCTGTGTTCCACTTTAATAAATAAACATCAACGTCATTTCCCTGTTGACCCTCAGACACAGGAATCGCCATATCTAAGACTGGATTCCAGCAGCACAAAACTGACCGGGCCTCCCATGAGGGTTCTTTCCAAAGAGAAAATGGGGAGGGGGGCAGAGGTTGTAGACCAGGTCCTTCTGAGGAGAGCGAGTGGGTGGAACCATGTATAAGTAAAGATTTAAACAAACAGAATGCATGACCATGGAAACATTTGGCTTTTTCAAAAGTATTATTCAGAAAAATAAAGCAATCAAGACTTCAGATTCAACACTTTACAAGTGTTTATGACCAGAAAAGGCAAAGTGGGTCTTGGATATTCTGCAGCCAAGTAAAAGCTGCCAGGATTCAAGGAAGAAGTATTCCCAGCAGGGAAGGGACCCATCATGTGTCAGGGATTTCTCTACAGTCCTCTGACTGGAGCGTTCTGCTCAGGGCAGGACCCACTTCACTCTGGTGGGGTTGCCATGACACAATTCAGGAGACCGTGCCACTCGCTGACCAGGTCCAGGCAGACCTGCCATGCACTAGGGCAAGGTCGTATCAGCCATGGAGCCTGCAGAGAGTGCCACAAGGAAATGTCAGATTTATGAACCGTGACCCAAACTTATTAGGAACTGTCCATGCCACCGGGGTCAGTGGTTTAGTCAACAACACGGATCATGATTTCCATATGGAGGATACAACCTGATGCTGGGTGCACACCATTCTGAGGCAAGCTGCCTGTCATCAAGACATTTTTAGCGTACAACCCGACCCGTTTCTTTGGGCTGTCTGCTGACTTCAGTAGTGCTGTTGTTAAGTATCACGGAGAAGCCTGATGCTGAGTTTGGGTGTCATTCAGAGCCCCCAGAGGTACTCACAGATAAACATGAAGAGAAGAAGGGACCATGCATCCACCTCAGAGAGTTTGCTGGGATACCATCAGGAAACACTGTTCTGGGTCACAGGAAGGTTGGATGAGAATTTATCTAACTTGCCAGAAACTGGATTCTCTCCCCTCAAAATGAGCTTCCTTAGTTAAATGGCCAATTATGAGTCCAGTTGGCAGCACGGTTTTTGACTAGGAGCTGCTAATGTTGATCAGGAAGAGAGGAGATGGAGATGCAGATGCCTGCCCTCACAAACAGGAAAGCCAGAGGACAAACAAGGTGGCCTGGTAGTCAGCTCTGCCTGTGGGGTCCCACGGTGAGCTGGGTGGCCAGCTCTGCAGGAGCAAGTGCTGAGGTTCAGGCTCTCAGTGATGCCCAGTAAACTACTCTGCCTAAATTCATCATGGCAGAGGAAAAAGCACACAGTTTAAAGGATTCACCTGTGGTTTGAATTCTGGTTCTGCTGCTTCGAAGTCCTATTAAATCACTTAACCCTTCTTGGGGGGCTCAGCTGCCTGGTCTCTACAATAGGAAGAGCATCTCTTTCCTGCCAGGCTGTTAGGGAGGACACAGGATTACATGGAAAACGCTTCCAGGACAGTTCCTGGCTAGTTATTAAAGCTCAAAAAAAAGGGCAGCAAAAAACTAAAGTTGTTTTTCTTCATGCTACATTGTTATATTTGCTTCCTCTGCTTTAGAAGTAATGTTGGCAAAGTAGCTCAGCCCCTAATTCCTAGTTAAGATCTATGGCCAGTAAAACATAGCAACGGGTTGGTGCCATCACGGAGCATCCTTTGCCAGGTTCTGAAAATTTCTGTGCAGTCCTAAACCCTGTCCTTTAACTTCATGGCAAGGACCTACCTGTCATTTCCAAAGGGAGACTACCGTAGGTGTTTTTTTAAAAAAAGGCGGGGGGGGGGTTAGTCCTAGCACTGGGCAGCAAGAAACAAAAGCCAAGACTGCTGCTCTAAGCTGAAGAAGCCCGGGCGGTGGCTCAGGCTGTGGGCTGGGAGCAGGAACTCATTTCCCCGACAGCCACGGCCGTGATGAGTGAAGAGATCAAATGTGCAGCTGACACAAGAGGAGGCCATGACCCTACATTAGGAGGGATGCCGTGAGACTGGGAGCCATCTGCCAGTTCTTTCGTCTGTGTGAGAGGAATTTCCCCATGTCATGCATCAAACTCACAACTGAAGCTGGCTCTACCACCCCGGCCAGGTTTTAATAGGAAAACAGCTCGGAATTAGAGGTTTTATTTGATTTTTATGGCAATTTGCATCGCCCTCAGTGAAAGGCTTGTTGTGATCCTCAGATTTTATAAAGCATTTAATATTTCTTACAGAAAGGAGCTATCCACATGCAAAACATTAAAAAAAAGTGTGTGTGGGGGGAACCCCAATGCAAGAAGCCGGAAAGCTTGTCAGAGGGCAGGGCCCGCCAGGCCTGGTGTTGCATCTGAGTTCTGGGGAAGAGCCTGGCCAGCTTTTGGCACTTGACCACCATCACCGAGGCCATTTGTCTTCTAGCATGGAATGGAAACAGGATCAAAAGCAGGCTCTGTACATTTTCGCAGCAGGCAGCTATGGAAACTCTAACTCTCTTGCCCTGTTTTCATCCATTTGGTTCCATTTTCTCTCGAGTCTTCCCTATTTTGGTTTGGAATCAATCCAGCAGCACAGTGCTCCTAAGTCGAGAGGTCAAGAAGACACGTGATTTTATGATGCAAGAAAGGGCAGCCACTCTGTTCTGTTTTGGGAACCTTGGTGACATCATGGACTGTCGAATCTCGGGAACTTGTGTCTAAGAGAGCACTGAGTCAGAAGAAAGCCTTCGTCACAGGGCTCCTGGAACTTCAGGTAAAGACAACTATTAGGTAACTGAGTCTATCCCCAGAAGACTGCTCCCGCTTCTCTCTGGCTTGGGTTTAAATGACTCCAGTCATTTTCTAGGGGAAACTCATCTATGTGGGACAGCTGTCACTAGCAGGACATTTGCTGCTCTTTGGCCTAAATTTCTCAGGACATCACTCAATTAACTTCTCCCTCTGAGGGGACAGTTTTCTCTCATATTACAAGTATCCAGGCAGCTGCCTAAAGATGGCTGGGTTACAGGACATGGCCTCCACTCTTTCTTCAGAGGCCTGTAACCTGTCTGGGTCTGTCCCAGGAAGGAGACTCGGTTAAATAAAGTGCTCCCAGAATATGCAGCTTTCCATTGTGAAAGGCACGCAAGCCAAGATGTTGAGGAGTCAAGGCGGACTTCCACAAGGCTCTGTGAGGCCACCTCTGTTTGGGTTTTGGCAGCTGTCTGCCTGTGGAGGGCTCCAGAGTCACTGACACATATTTATATCCTACTTCATGAAGTCACAAGGAACACGTGCGCGTTTACCCTGGAGGCAAAGCCCATTCATGTTGCCTCAAATGAAGCAGGGAGGGCAGGAGAGAAACTGCTTATGGACAAAATCACCCGTGAGCATAGCCACAACAGTTTTTAATTTGCCTAAAGAAAATATGTGATTTCAAGATGTGATTAGGGAGTACTGTTCCCACAGTAAACACAGTATGAACATGAACTGCTGGCTGTCATTTAACAGGACTCCAAGGCTGGGAAGCAAATCTCATCCTTGTCTTCCAAACAGCCACCCCACGAGATCAGCTGGACCAGCCTCTGGAAGTTTCTTCACAGCGGAAGGTTAGCTCAGTCTCAGCACAGCTTCTCTCTAAGATTTCACATCACCAGTGCGCCCCTCCAGGGTCTGGATAAACTGTCCGAAAGGTCAGGTTTATTCTTGGTTTTCTAGAGTGGTACTCTTTGGGCACTCGATGCTAAACAGAAATATAAATAACTCTGACATAAACACATTTATAACGACATGGACATATTTTGACTTCGTCCCCCCTCAACCCCCCATGAGCATCAATAAGCTCTTTGAAGTCTTGTGGAGAAAGGTTTTCTTCTCTGAAGCAAACCCGCCCCCCCCCCCGCATCACTCTGATAAGCCAGCGCCCTCACAGTGAGGTGTTTTGTTTTTATCTTTTCTAATTGTTGTTCTTCCTCACAGCTTCCTGCCATTTTCCCAAATCTCGTAAGACAACACATAAATGACTTGAGACCAAAGGCAGGCATGAAATTCTGCTCCCATGCTAAGCGTTCTTCCATGAACTTGCACACCTTAAAGATGACGTGGCTTTAGAAGAGCACGGCCTAAGGTGAGAAGCTGTGCCCAACAGCCAGCCACTGGCTATCTGAAGCTACTGAAATGAATTTAAATTAAAAATTCAGTCCTTCAACACACTAGCCCCATCTCAAAAGATCAGTAATAGTTGTGTGTGTCCAGTGGCTACTACATGGGGACTTAAAGAGATGCAGAATATTTCCACTGTCACAGAAAGTTCTACTGGATGCCACTGCTGCAAAGGTCCATTCTGTCAGATTCAAAACTTGAAAATGGTATCACTGTACCGCCTCTCGCTCATGATAAAAGCAACTTGCTTTTCACCATATTTACTAGATAAATGAATAATCAGAAGCCGTCAGGGCCCTGCCTCCATGTGAATCCAAATTCCTTGCATGTTCTCACCTGCCAGTCAGCTTGTGTCGCTCCTTCCATGATTAGCAAGGTCCCATGATCCAAGGGTATCTTCACTCTTTCCACATACGTGTAGTCTCCGTTCTCTTCCTAGAAAACAGCATTCATTGCACTCCATTGTTTGCTTGTGTGATCAAGATGCAATGGAACCTGACAGTGGTCAAGAAATGCAGACCCCTCCGCAGCTAGGCTGTAGGGGTTCATCTACTGGCTCTGCCCACAGCAGCCGTCTGGCCTGAGGCAAGTTGCGTCACCACTCTCTACCTTAATTTACTCGTCTGTAAAATGGGGATGACAACAGGACCTGCCACCAGGGCTGTTGTGAGCCTCCACAGATGCAGTCTGTGTAAGTTACTTAGAGACTGGCACATATTAAGCACCGTGTAAGTGCCAGATATTATTCTCATCAGCATCTAACATTGCAGAAGAGCCCATTCTGGCCTGTGAAGAAGTTAAGTCATTTATACAAGAACTCTTTACATCTGCTTTATGCTGTGCTCTGTGTTTTGCCATAGTCAGTGTGGAAAAAATGGGCTTTTAAACAAGACATGGTGTGGTACGTTCTCATCACCTTTTTACAATTTACGCTAATTCACTTATCGATGCCTACGTTAAAACTGGTTATGACTCTTCCTATAGCTCCTCTGGTGTCTTGGAGATACATTCTTGTTTCCTTCCAGAACAGTCAACAGCAAGATTTTCTTAAAGAACGGAGCTCTGGCTTGACCAGAACAGGGCTGCAAACTGAGACTGGCTGTTTTAGCCTTGGAGCATAGGTCACAACTCCTGAGCACTTCAGATAGAAACGCCTTGTATTTACATTGCCCCTCTCTTCCAGAGAGCCCAAAGTCAATTCATGTCCAGTACTCTAATGAAGCTTCAGGCACAGCCTGCAAAACAGCCAATAGGTGGGGGTCACTCCTCCTTCCCAGTTGACAAAGGGGTGCAGTTGACAAAGAGCTTGTCAAGAGTTGAGACCCGAGCTTCCTGATCCTTCCTCTTCCATTCTGGGCAGATCCACCCATTCATCTACTTCACTTCTGATGCAAGGGATTGCATTTGAGTTACTGCAGATTGATTTCCCTGCAATACTGTGTTTATGTTTATTACTGGAGGGGTGCTTCTGAGAACACAACTATTTACAATGATTTCCCTCAGGAAAATAAAAATCAAAACAATAATGAACTTGCATAAACAGTTTAAGTTCCAGGTCCCAACCACTGGCAGTGACTTTGTGCAGCACAGTCATAACTTTTACAGGCAGAAGGTAAAAGCAATGTTTGAAATAACTTTTGGTTTCAGTGATTGATTTTAACTGTGCCTGCCACCTTTTTTTCTCCAGTAGCAAGTAAGTGCTGAAGCATTAACCTCTGACCCATCAGCCAACCAGGGAGCGGTGGGAAGATGACCCTGTCCTCGGGTGGTCCAGCTGCATCTCAGAGAGGCAAAAGGCGGCTCTCTGAAAAAAAGGATTCCAACCAAAGGAGATGTATGTCGTACTGGAGAAAAGATACCAGAAGGGAGTGCATTGTCCATGAGATTAGAGGGCTCAAGGCTTCTTGACTTAAGCTGTAAAGTCAGTTACCAGATCAAGGTTCAACATAGCGAGGAGCAGGTGTTCTCCTGCCCTCTGCGTACTGCTTCCTCAGGGAGTGAGGCGGGACCTTCTTCTGTAACTCAAGCACAGACACAAGGACAGGGTCACAAAACGAAGAAGAGAGGAAAGGCGCTGAACCAGACATGAAGCCAATCCTGAGACCGAGATCTCTTCGAACAGGAACAACACTCCTGGGGAGGAGGGGGCACCAAGGCCAGTGGAAGAGAAGGGGTGAGCACTGTAATTCTGCCTGGAAACACACGGCGGGAAGAGAACCAGCAAGTGAGAGAGAATTCCATATGCAAAGGGGAAATATCAGCCCTGATGGAAAGTGATGTTCAACAGAGCCGTGTTTCACTTTATATTCCTAAGATCTTTTTTTTTTTTTAAGATTTTATCTATTGATTTGACAGAGAGAGAAACAGTGAGAGAGGGAACAGAAGCAGAGGGAGTGGGAGAGGGAGAAGCAGGCTTCCCGCGGAGCAGGGAGCCCGATGTGGGGCTTGATCCCAGGGCCCTGGGATCATGACCCGAGCCGAAGGCAGACGCTTAACGACTGAGCCACCCAGGTGCCCCTAGTTTCTATGTTCCTAAGATCTGAATTTTTCAAATGAGAGAAAGCCTCAGGTTGCTTTTAAACATACATTCAATATAACCTTTAATTGTACCTAAAAGCAGAAGAGGGAGATTCTTCACTTGGGATAGAGCTACTCTTGATCAGTCCCCAAAAGAGAGCGATACCCAGGGCACCCACTGGTATCATCACTTTGCTGCTTGCTATTTGTCCCCTCCAACATCCTTGGCTCAGAAAGTGCATTCCTAATCTGCAGGAGATAGAAAAGAGGGCAAGGGATTCTACTAAGGCAACACAGAGCTCACAAATGTGTCCTTCTGAGGTCAGAGTGCCAACAGACCCCAGAGCCACCCTTTAACTTAACCAAGACACACAAAGACTTTTCCCACTTAGGAAGCAGATAAAAGGCCAGGGGAGCTCACGGGGCTATGCATAAAGGCCCAAACTGATAAATGGATAAGCAACGCTGGAAGCAAGGGTCAGACTGTAGATGAGTGCATACACAGCCATTAAGCATGGTTAAGTTACCAAAACACGGCTCTGTGACCCTTTTGATTTACTCAGGTCTTTCTTCAAAACAAAACAAAACAGAACACACCCCTAAAAAAACATGGCTTAGGATAAAATTTTCCATCCATGATCCCAGTTAAAAGAGGCTTTTTAGGGGCGCCTCACTGGCTCAGTCAGTAGAGCATGTGACTCTTGATCTCAGGGCTGTGAGTTTAAGCCCCACACTGGGCATACAGCTTACTTTTTATTTTTTTATTATTTTTTTAATTTTCCATCTTTACCATTTTTTAAAAAGATTTTATCCATTTGAGAGAGACAGAATGAGAGATAGAGAGCACGAGAGGGAAGAGGGTCAGAGGGAGAAGCAGACTCCCCGCTGAGCAGGGAGCCCAATGCGGGACTCGATCCCGGGACTCCAGGATCATGACCTGAGCCGAAGGCAGTCGCTTAACCAACTGAGCCACCCAGGCGCCCAGAGCTTACTTTTTAAAGAGGCTTTTTAGAGTCACAATCAGTCTACAGGGTGGGTTTTGTTGTTGATGGTTTTCCACACGAAATTTCACAAGTAGATGAAAAAGGCAAAAAATATATACTTTTATATTAATTCTGATCAACACTCTCCCCTCCTCCCCAAGGACAGCCAGTTCATTAGAACATGCGACTATGATTCCCAAGGAGTGCTGGGCCTTCCTGAAGTTCTATACTCCCACCTCCGCCTCCTGACACAAGCCTATTTGGCTTCCTTTAGAAAAATGGTTATTAGGAGAAAAAGTCTGGGTATATCTGTCATTCTGTCATTACTAACCATTCAACAGACAGGAAACCTAAACATGTTTGTTTTCATTGGAAAGGTAACTTCACATTTTATAAGCTCTATGTAGATTTTTCATGTAACTGCTCCTTTCTTGTCCTAAAAAGGTGTCTTAGAAATTACAACCAACAATCAATGCTTGAAAATCAGCAGCAGCAGAGTTTTTCTCTCTACAGAATAAAAGTGACAAAAGGTCACTAAAGTAAATGACACATGGAAATTACTGGTTCGATGCCTGCCTTCCTCCTCTCTGATAAACTCCACGAACAGAGGACTATGTTGTCTTGCCCTTTTGAAATATGCTCGGTGCCCATCACACACATCAATAAATATGTGCTGAATGAGGAAGAGCACCAAGAAAACATAATCCTATCATCCAGAATTCATGCAATGCAAGTACAGGAAACTTTCTATATATAAAATTATGTACTCTACAATTTGAACATTATATTGTGAGCATGTTTTTGCGTCTCAAATGTATGGTATTTCAGAAATGGGGTTATATAATATTCCTTTATATGAACATATCTTTCCTTCTTTAAACTTGCAAATATTTTTTGACCACCGTTATGTCAGGCACTGTGCTAATGCTAAGAATGTAGTAATGAGGTACACACTGCTGGACACTGAGATTTTAATATACCAGTACGGCTTTAAAAAAAAGAAGAAAGGAAAGGAGAAAGGGAAAAGGGAAAAGGGAAAAGGGAAAAGGGAAAGGAAAGGAAAGAAAAGAAAGAAAGAAAGGCTACTACAAGTAGATCCCGGGCAAAACATTCCTGCGTATTTTTCTAAGGATATATTCTCAAAAATGGAATGTCTGGATCCAAGGATATGAACTTTAAAGCAGTCTGACTTAGAGTAGCAAACTGTTTTCTTAAGAAGGTTGTGACAATTTATAATTCCATCAGGAAAATACTACAGTACCTACCTTCTAGTCACATCACCAATACTGAACATTACCAACTGACAATGATGAAAAAAAAATTTAGGGGAAAAGTAACAATTCATTATTCAAACAGAGAGTTCTTTAACTACTAACCCGGTTCAACATTTTTTCACAGGCCTATTGGCTGTTTGCATTTATTGTATTGTGAATTCTGTGTTCACGTTCTTTGTCCATTGTTCTACAGATGTTAGTATTTTTCTTATTGATCTGTAACCACAGACAGTGAGATATTTACTCTTTGTCCTACTATCTGCAAATACTTTTCTCATTTGCTATTTGTCCTTTAACTATGTTGATATTTAACACAGAGTAGCTCAAAAACTTTCAGAGTCAACTCTGACCTTTCTTTGGTTCTCCTTCATGGTTTTTATGCTTAGCAAGTCTTCTCTCATATGGGGGAAGTTAAATATACAATTGCATTTCCTTTCTGGTTAACAAAAAAAAAAGGTTTACATGTTTTTAGATTTAACTCTTCACCTGAAATTTGGCTTCCACCCACCCCTCCCCTGCCCCAAGGCTTCTTTTTATAACATTTTCCAAATACTTAAACCAAGGCCTCCTGCCAGACTTTTTGGACAGGATCAACCACAGTGTATGCTGCCCAGGTGCCAGGCATGTTAGGAACTATATGTACATCATTGCTAATGCTCACTACAACCCTGTAAGGGAGGTGATATTTTCCATCTTATCATAAGCAAAGGGAGCTGAAGGGAAAGCACATCTCTAAGGCAGAAGGCTGGCAGGAGGAAGGCAGGGCTAGTATTTGGACTTAGATTGCCTAGCTCTAAAGCTTATATTCTTTCCACTATATTGTGTTCTCCAAAGTGAACTCTATGCCTTCTGAAATTCCGTAACATTTCCTGTCCTAATTACATGGTACCCTGACTGACCTGTTAAAGGTCACAAACACCAGCAAGTAGCATAAATGGGGAGTGCGGCAGGATGCAATGCAGTGGGGAATGGGGATCATGGAGAACCAGAGAGCATGGGGCCTGCAGACGGTGTAGCTCTAGCTCACTGTTCCCTCAGGGTTGTCTTGATTTTCTGGGTTTTCCAGGGAAGCTGATAAATGGGATTTTTATGTGAAATCTCCTGAGTTATAAATTTTGGCAAGTAACTGAATCTCTTTAAAAACACTGAGCAGTATAAACAAGTCTGAGAACCAGATTCACTTCAAGAGCTGCCCAACTGTGCTGCTGATTGACCCATCATGACTCCTCTTATGCCCACGTCTTGTCATCCTATCTGGCCTGGAAGTTCCCAATCGAGGCCAGCTGTCATCTGCTGGGGTCCTCTGATCCTGCTTTGCCATTCCACACAGTAGTGCCTGATAGAAAGCTCAGGACACATATACAATTTCAAGTATATATTCTTAATCTCAGTGACCCAACTCAAGCAGAAAAGGCCATTCAAAGCAAAATATACTTCCAAATTAATGATCTCAATTTACAGTGAGACATTTGATTTTCCAACTCATCTTTGATCCTCCTAAAAGTAGATGAGCTACTTATTTAGAAAATTTCCATCATTTTACTAAGATATTGATGAAAACAAAACACAAATGACCAGAAAGAACAAAGTAGGAGTCTGCTACCTGTTTCTCATTTCCTGAGCTCTCAGGAAGCACTTGACATGCAGTAACTATGATTGGTTTCTGCACTGGAGGCATCAGGGAAGGCTTCAAGGCTACAGTGGGTCCTTGAATCCTGGAGAGGACTTAAGTTAACGAGAAGGAGGAGAGCGAGTGTAAGGGAGAGCAGAGAGATGATCTCATGGAATGGTGCAATCACACAGGGAACAACAAGACACCAAAGTAGGTTGGGCATAGATTATGTAAAGATTTGACAGTCTGACTAAGGAGCTGACATTTTATCTTTTGTTCCAGTAGGAGCAAAGAAAGGCTTCTGAGTTGGAAAACAAAGTGATGAAAGCAGTGAGCTCAATCTTGGCTCTCTGCTCCTCTTTAGCTATTCTCTTGCTCTGAATGATGATGTGCGACTCCACAGCTTTCCATATTACCTACATTATTAGTTCTAACTCAATTCAACAATCAGTTATCGAAGCCACGCTGCGTAAGTGATTTAACAGTGTGCTTCAGCCACCTCGTCCGTACAACGGGGATAATAGCAATATCGACTTCGTGGGATTATTGGAGGGCTGAATATAAAGCACTTAGAACAGGGACAGGCACCGAGTCAGCACTACACATTTGGTATTTATCATCATCACTTTCCTGTTGTTGTTCTGACAATTCCCAAGTGATGCTTCTAGCACAAGCCTGTCATCTGAACCGCAGACCTAGATAGCCAGTGACCCACTTCCCCCTGGAAGTCTCAGGCCTCTCCAACCTACCATGCAGAAGGAACTCTTGATTCCATCTACAAATCCTCCTTAAACAGCACCACAATC